TGTCACCCCACTGCCCACAGAGCTTTCTCTTCCTAGGGTTCCCCACTACATACTCAAAAAGGCTGCGATAGCATAAGGAAGTGGAGTGGGTATCTGTTACATAAGTGTAGTGACCAAATGTCTTTTCAGGATTGGCCATTGTCTTAAATTAGAGACAAAACTTTGCTTCTCTTCAGTTGAAGAAGACTGTCCTATTCGCTATTTTAATCCTCCGTTCTTCAGGAGATTAACTGAGGGGAGAGGAATTCAGTTGCTCCCAATTCAAACTCCAGCATGACAATGCAGCTGCAGCCAGCCAGCCAGCTGGCTGAGAGCCTACAGGGCAGAGCTGGCAGTCCCACCCTGCAACAGCTCCCTCTGGCCTCTCAGTCCCCACACAGACCTTGGCTCTCTGCCAAGAGGCCACTCACCTCAGTCAATGGATCTAAATGTGGCAAGCCCTCAGGCATTCTCCCAAACCAGGGCCCAGATCCATGGGATCTACTTTTGTAATGGATGTAACAGACACTTCCACCTGCACTATTAAGGGTGCAGAACTGTGGCCCTTTAGGAAGAAATCTGCCCTTCAGAAACTAAAATAAGCTCACCCAGCAAGCTGCTCCTTCCTACAGGGAGCTGCCATTGTCATTCTGCCTGGATCTGCTTCTTAGAGCCTTTCTCTCTCCAGTATTTTTTCAGCTAGCGCTTTTTGTTTGTTTGTTTGTTTTGTATGTTCAGGGAACTGTCCCTTCTCTCCACAGCTGCTCCTCATCTGAGCTTTGCAGAATTGAGAGGCATTTGGTAAAGTGCTTTCTAATCATAACGTAATACTATCAATATTTCTGGAGAGAATAATTCAGAATTGAAGCAGCTGGTCTCAATTAACAGAACTGCCGCTGTGGAGATGACACATGAGCGGGCATGGTGCAGCATGAAGCTGCCGTAAATGTGCAGTGTGAGCATGCATTGCCTCATCAAAGGGACTGGGTTGTCAGCAGACTGCGAAGCTGGGTTGTCTGTAGAGTGTGCACTTGGTGGTGTTATGCTTCTGTGTGGTGGATAAATCCGAGAGCTGTGTTCCTTGCACAGGACTATATCTGTCATGTTTGCAACACTGTTTTTATGTGGAAGCAACAAGTATGTCTTAGAGCCGTTCAAAAGACAGAGGCCCTGATTTTGACTTCAGTCCATGTTTGCACTGGTGTAACTGATTTGAGCTGGATCGTCCATCTTGGTAACATCCGTGATGGGGTGTGGTCACAGAGGACCCCTTGGGGGTACTTTCCAGGGTGCTGACAAGGCCACTGCCACTCGTCTTCCTGCTCTCTGGGGCCTCTCACCTCTCTGGTCTCCCCCAGGCAAGGCCCAGAGCTGAAATCACTGCCCCCCGAGAAGTAGTACAAACACTGAAACCCTTCAGGTCCAAGGAGAATGCAGTTTTGGGCCCAGCTTCCTGGGCTACCACTCCCCAAGTGGGATCAGACTCCTAATGAATTAGGTAGGTAAGCCCCCTTTAACAATGAAAGGGGGAAAGTACACTCTGGTTGCTCTCCCAAGTAACAATTATTTACACTGGGCTTGATAGTAAATACAAGTGATTTTATTAAGCACAAGCAGTAGGATTAAAGTGGTAATAAGTGTGAATGGGCAAAGCAAAGTAGATTACAAATTTTAAATAACAGTAAAGGCTAAGCTAACTCTAACACTAAAACCTCAGTACAAACTTACTGCAAACTCACCCTAAAACTGTTTCTTTTCCAGCTAAGCCTTCCAGCCAGGGTCGTTCCCTCTCCCTGGGGTCTTTGCTTCATTCCTTTGGGTATGCTATGTTAGCCAGACAAAGACAAAGACCCTGCTAAGCTTCCGATTGTTTATGGATCCCCTTTTACATGAGTAAGTTACCTGGCCAGTTCCTACTATTTAAGGCGGTCATGTGACCTCCTAAGACCAATCACCGCTAAGTCTTAAAGGACAAAAGAGGGTTCTTTCACATGATTGCCCAGACATTGAGGTGGCCCAGCATTGGAAACACCCTTGATGGCTTTCCTTTGCACATTTAAACCCATAACGCATTCCATACTCCATATCTCTAACTTCACGCACAAGAATGATACATGCACCAAAATGAGATATACAGGCCCAGCGAATTATGACATGAAGTTTGTTGGATTACATGAGATAATTTGTCCCAAGCACCTTTAAGTTAGGCATATCTGTGTCCACAAGTCCATTTTCTAAAGCATTGAGGGTGGGGGGGTTAATCAGAACATCCATTGATTTGTGGACAGAGTGGGCCAGATTTTTATCTCACTTACATTTGTGCAAATTGGTAATAACTCTGTTGAAGTCAATGGTGTTATGGCAGTTCACTCCAAATAGGGACCTGGTTCATTAACTTCAGTGGAGTTACTTTTTATGTGTAAGCAAGAGGAGAACTTGGCCCGGAGAGTCCAGTGTCCATGAATCAGTAGCCACTAATGAACATGCACATTTGGAACTTGTGGTTTTAATTTTCAATGTCAAGCAGGGATTTGAGCCACACGACCCCCATTGAAATTAACAGGAGTTGTGTGATTAAATCGCCCGGTCAGTTCTAAACATCTCAGCCTGTCTGTTGCGTGTTAAATTTATAGCCTCTAGATCTTGGTTACTTTATGAGTTGTTAATTTTATTGTCCTCCAAACACTGCCAGGACATGGTGTTCGTGGCTACCTGGTGCTTTAATCTACAAAAGACCTTTTGAATTTCATCGCTAGCATTCTTCAGCAGTCCATGTGTTGCTGCAGATTGGAAGTTGTGTATGGACTTGTCTACTGTTAGTGCCTCCCTGCATCATATCAGTTGTCAGAGGTGATGTTGGAGCTTTTGGCAGATAGATTGGGAACAATTGTGGGTTTGAGCCCCTACAGAGAAGTGGAAAGAATGTGACGGATGTGAGAGAAACAGACAAGTAGGATGTTTCTGATAAAAATGAGTTTTGCTAACAGTAGGGACAGGTTATTATTATTATTTGGTTTCAGAGTTAATAAATACCCCCTTAGAGTTGACTATGACTATTTCACCACTCTAAGAGCCAGGGCCGTCCCTACCGATACGCAAACCACGCAAGTGCGTGGGGCCCCAGGACATTTGAGGGCACCATGCAGCTGCTTCCTCCTCCCCTCTTTGCCCCTCTTTCATCTTCTGCTCCCTGTCTCTCCTCTCCCCATCATTCCCTTGGTTCCCCTGCCTCCCTCACTGCCTCCCGGCTGTCCTGCGTGCCCCCTCACTGCCTTTCCTTCCCCCACTGTCCTCCTCGTGTTCCCCTGCCACCCCGCCCCCCAGCCTCCTCGCTGTTCCTGTTCCCCTCATCCCTCTCACTTCCCTGTTCCCCACTTACTGCCTGGGGCAGGAGTAGCAGCCCCATCCCCACAATTTCCCCCGTCCCCAAGGTGCCACGCTTTGGGGCTCAGTGGTAAGACCTGACCTGCTGCTGCTCTTGGAATTCTGCACCCCAAGAGGTGGATTTGTCCACCTATCTCCACCACTGCAGCTATTGGACCAGCTGGCTGGGGGGTGAGCCATGCAGGAAAGCAGTTTACCATGTTGCCATTGATCAGCTTTGAGCCCGAACATGTTGTTAGCAATAGAACTTTATTGTCAGGTCAGAGATGTTTTTCATTGTGGATTATTGTCTCTTCTTTACAATTTTTTTTCAACCATATGTTTTGCACAGAGTTCAGAATGGACCAGTTCTCTTGTTTTTGTTTTGTTTTGTTTTTTTGCCAACGTCTTGGTGACATTTTAAATCCCTTTATCAAAATCATGTGAGATTGGCAACCAAATTGTTAGATGACAAAGATGCTTGCTAACAATCCTGAATCCAATTTCAATATTTTTTAAAAAATCAATGCCTTAGCCAAAAATAGAAAATTCAGATGACAGTTGTTTGTGACAAGTATGTTTTGGGGAAAGGAGTGGGCCAGTTTTCATGAAGGAAACAAAAAATTTTGATGGGCTTTCCTAAAACCCTGTTATTGCTAAATAGAGCGCTTAGTCCATCGGCGTTGTAGTGTGCTTAATTTGCTTAAACTAGTTTTAATAAAGTGCTGGTGGCAAGTTTTCTAGTACTGTAAACTTAACGTTTGTTTTGCTAAGAGCAAGACAGGCATATAGGCACCAGTTTATTAGTATCACATAGGGCGCCAAAGAACAGCCCTGCTCAGAGCTAATGTTTCAGCCTATCTGCAGACTCAGGCATGGGATTGTACTTTGTTCATGACTCCAAGATTGTGTACGTGACTGTAAGGGCTAGAAACATAGTTATGGGGTCTTTTTAATGGAAGTTTAGATTCTGGAGCACAATTTCTCCTCAAGGGGTGGACTCTACAGCAAGTTCTGCAGCAGTGGAATCATGGAGCCCATGGGACCCTGAATAAATGCAGCAAGGGGTACTAGTATTATTATAAAGCATTGGCCTTCTAGCTGATTGGCTAACTTGCAGCTTTAAGTTACTGCCACAGGCTGGTGAATGCATCCTGTCAGCACTATTATCCTTAAGCTGAAACATTATATATCTCTCCAGAGAAAGAGCAGTGTTACAGGAATATAGGGAAGACTCATAGGACATGATTTACACTTACGTTACAGCCTCTTTTCACTACCGCGGCAATGGAAAGGCAGTCTAAAGGAGCTGGAAATTGAACATAACTCACTGCCACAGTGGTGTGACGTGGTCTTAGTGCTAGGGTTGTCAGGTATCCGGTATTTGCGCCTTCGGTCCAGTAAAAAAATTCAGAAAATACCGGACATGCTGGGGCGGAAGGAGGGGGAATTAAAGCGGGCATTTTTTTTTTTTGTCTTTGCTCAACAGAATTTTTTCCTAGCATTTTTTTTGGTGGCGGGGGTTGGTATTTTTTGTGAAACCATCTGGCAACCCTACTTAGTGCAATGGAGAATTCAGGATGGGGTACCTATCCAGAGGTAATGAAACTTAAAAGCAAATCATGCTTCTTTGTTCAATGATCATCATTTTGAATTGTAGCCCAGATCACCAATACTAAGGGCACAGGTATTGGATTTCAGCAGTTGGAGCAACAGCTTACCAATGGTAGTATTACCCATTCCCACAAGGAGACTCTGCCTGTGTCCACACTCAGGGGTTCTTTCGATCCTGATTAGGACAGCTCCCCACATTGCAGAAGAAGGTGCCCTTCTGGGTTTAAGCAGCGGTGATCAACACTTGTGGGTTAGGGCGGTATGTGGGGGGCAGTCTCTGATGTGACTGAGTTGTATTAGGAAAGTCACCTGACAGTCAGAATATGCCTAGCTGTTTTTTTTTTCTGGAAAGGCTGCAGTTGTTGCACCAAGGGGAAGGTAAGAGGTGAGCGGGAAAGAGACAGCTGGCCTTTGATTAGTTGCCTGGAAACACAGGGTTCCTGAGAGCCAGAGGTGGGAAAAGGCTTGACGACAGAGATTTTGACCTCCACTTGCCTTTCTTTGTGTGCATGTGTCCTATATTTAGTTTAAATATTGCCTTGTGTGTTGGCGTTCAATTGAGGCTGCGATCTCAAGGGGGTTGGAAGAGTGGACCCTCTTCATCATTGTCCCTGTAAGATGTAAGGTCACACATCTCGGAGCAAAGAGCATGGTCATGCTTACAGGATGAGGGGCACTATCCTGGGAAGCAATGACTTCTGAACAAGCCTCAGGGGTCCTGGTGGAAAATCAGCTGAACTTGAGCTCCCAGAGTGATGCTGTGACCAAAAGGACTAATGCAATCCCTGAATTTATAAAGCAGGGAAATTCAAGTATAGGCTGACTCCCTGGTCCAGCAGGATCATGGATGTGGCTGGACCAGAGAACCCCTGGCCCAGAGAACCCCATCTGGCTGCGAGTGGGGGCTGGCTGGGAGTCCAGTGCAGAGGGGCCAACCAGGGCTGGGAGCAGAGCCAGTCCAGCACCTGGAAGACCAGTGGCCGGGGTGGAGCTGGGACTGGGGGCCAGCGACAGGAGGGCCAGCAGCCAGGAACCTGTCTGGGGCTGGGAGTGGAGCTGGTCTGGCAGCCATGGGGCTGGCTGGAGCTAGGAGTGGAGTTGGTCTGGTGGCTGGGATCCCAGCCACAACCTGGAATGGAGGCTGGGGGCAAGGAGCCCAGCTGGGGCTAAGGCACTGGTAGCAGGGTCCATGGTCATGAGGGGAACCTGGGAGCTGGGGTCAGCAGCCAGAAGAGGAGCCCAGCTGGGAAGCTGGCTGCCCTCCAGGAGAGTCTGGAAGCCAGCAGCAGAGGTTCCGAAATCGACCTCCTCTGGTCTGGCCAAGTCCCTTGTTGGGGAACAGTCAGGTGCTGAGGGTGCTGGATCATCCCTTGTTGGGGACCAGTCAGGTGCTGAGGGTGCTGGATCAGGGAAGTCCAACCTGTAGTGGTAGAGAGGTTATATTACCTCTGTCTTTGGTAGTATTGCCACTGTTAGTGGTATATTATGTCTAGTTCTACTATCCACATTTCAACAAGGATTTTGAGAAACTGGAGAGGTTTTAGAGACAAGAAAGCCAAATGATGAAAGGGTTGGAAAGCAGACTTTATGTTGAAAGACTTAAGGATTTCAATTCATTTTGCTTATCAAAGAAAAGGTTAAGAGGTAACTTGACCACAGCCTCTAAGTCCCTACATGGGAAACCAAAAGTTGATATGAGATAGCTGTATAATCTAGTAGACAAAAAAGTGTGTCTTCAGTGTCTGGAAATTGAATCTAGACACATTCAGATTAGACATAAGGCATACATTTTTACCATTGAGGGTAATTAGCCATTGGAACAATTTACCAAATTTTAAATCAAGACTGAACATATTTTTCTACCAGATAAGCTCCAATTCCACCACAGCTATTGGCTTACGGCAACTATACATTCAGCAAAGTCCTATAGCCTGTGTTATGTGGAAGCTGAGGCTAAATAAACATAATGGTCCTTTCTAGACACAGGCACAAAAAAGTATAAAATTAGGCATACTTGCTCTAATTAAGTGACAAAGTTTAAACTAATAATGATAAAGACCTTCTACCCGAAAAAACCTTCAGTTCCCCAACCTCCACAGAAAACCTTCCTTCAGGAAGACTGAATAAATAAATTGCCCTTGAAACATGCCCTAAAGGCCAGTCCTGTTAATCCAAGGAGGGGGAAAAAATTCTGGAACCCATAGTTTTCTTTTGGAATGCCTAGCTTCCACATGTGTTAATTTCTGGACTATCAGCACAGCTGTACTAGCAGACCACCATGGCTAAGTTAGGGTATGATCCAAAACCCATTGAAGGCAATCTGTGGAAGTATCCTGATTGACTTTGATGGGCTTTGGATCAGTGTATGAGAATACAGAGAAGGATTTGGTCTCAAAGGTACACAGAAGCTAATCTCTTTCTCTTTCTCTCTCTGTTTTAGGACATGTCTATACAATCCCCTGTAATCTGAACTGCAGGAGAGTGTAGACTTGTCTGGAGATCCCATCAGGGCCAAATTCAACCCCAGTGTAAGAAGGTTCAGTGTTCAGTGGAGTCACATTCTCTTATACCAGAGTTGAATTAGACCCAGTGGAGTGGGTTTCAAATGGTCCCACCATTAGCATAACTTTGCTCAGTTGCAGTCAACTGGAGTTTTACCATTTATAGGGAGAGCCAGGACTCTGAGGTGGCTCCAAGTATTCTCTCAGGGGTGTGGCTGGCTGGGCCCTGTTCACGTGCTTTGGGTGTGTCTCAGGGACAGGCAAATACCAGCCCCTAGTCTGGATCCAGTCCACCAGGGTTTGGTCCTGGCAGCCCGCTTATCCTGATATATTTACCTTCATGGCTGCAGGTACTGGTGATCGCAGCTCCTGTTGGGTGTGGATCACCATTCCTGGCCAACGTGAACTGTGGGATGTAGTGTGCTGGTCCACACTGTTTTCTGCCCCTCCCATTGGCTGGGAACGGCAACCTGCGGCCAATGGGAGCTGCGATTGCTGGTAACTGCAGCCATTCAGGTAAATATGGAGGTGGCAGCCCACCAGGGGTTAGCCCCTGGCAAACTGTCACCATGTTATTGCCCACCCCCGGTATAACTGATCACCAAATGAGGAGTGCGGAAGGCAGTTTCTCACAGGTAAGAGGGGCAGTGACCTTTTCACGCTCCTCTGCAGAATGTGGGTATGAGTCAGTTGCCAGAATATATTTGGATGTATATCTCATGTAATCATTTCCTTACCATTGCAGGGGCCTTACGCACTGGTGCAGCTCAATCCCTCCTATTCTCTGCCTCATACTGCTCTGATCTCCTGTGGGATGCAAGACTTTAGTCTCTCTGACTGTATGACTGAAGTAGGAAGAATGTTAGGGCACCTCTGAAGATCTTTCCCACTAGGTACAGAGGATCAGAGAAGCAGAAAATCAGTTTATTTCACCAATGTACTGCGTTCAGGTGAATCTAGGACACAGGAGACCCAGGACATTTATGTACTAAAAATAATAAATAACAGGGAAAATAGTATTTCCATGTATCTTAAAAAGCCTCAAGGAAAAAGTTTAAAAAAAAACGCCCACAAACCTGTCAGAGTTGCTGATTAAGAAAAACTGTACTGGCCTGCTTGTATGAGTTACTATTCTCATGATGAAGAGCTTGATTTTAAGTGTAGGTGGATTAGTGGTACGGCAAGCAAGTCTTGTGGTCAGGGCCTGCTGCTTCAGTCTCTCTTTTAGATCAGTGTGTCCTGAGCCCCTTGAATGGTGTTCAGCTAGGTGCGCTTCCTTGTCGATTACCCCCTAGTCCTGCCTGTCCCAGGAATCCAGCATGGGTCGGAAGATCTGGAGACTCCTGCTCCACTGGGTGCGAGCCTGGGGATGTTGGCTCTCCTACTGAAAGTGAAACCGTGAAACAGTAGGGTGGGCCTATGTTCAGGGCACCTCCTGCTCACCTTCCTCTAAATCATGTCCTACAGGTTGTACCTCCCTTCACCGGGACTCTCTGGTCCGGCAACATCCATGATCTGGCAGGACCACATATGTTTCTGGACCACAGAACCAGGTATAAGGAGGTCAGGCCGTGGGGTAGGAGCATGGCAGCAGGGGCTGGCGACTCAGCTGGGAGCCCCGTGTCGGGGCCAAGTGGTGCAGCGAGGAGATCTGGCCCCAGCAGCTGGGCAGTAGCAGGGGGGTGGGCAGTGGCCATGCATCTCTGGCCCAGTGACAGCCAGGGAGCTGCAACCCCGGTTCTGGAGCTCCAGTCCCAGCCACACAGCCCCGACCCTGGCAGCAGTGGGGCCAGTGGGAGCCAAAGAGCTCTGGCCCAGTGAGAGACAGCTGGCCAGGCAGCAGCGGGTCAGGCTAGAGCCTGGGGGTGGAGGAGGCAGCGTTTTAGTATGGGCCAGGAAGGGAGGGACCTCCCTGGTCTGGCAAATCCCAAAGGTGCTGGACCAGGGAGGTCCAACCTGTACTACACCAATGTCTCGGTTTGGGATATGGCAACTGTTTAGTTATAGTCCTTTGCTTCAAACCCCATATTAGAGCCCTTGTGTGAGATTATTTTTTTAATCCTGCTCCCAGTCCAGCCTGCAGTACCCACTCCCACAAGGTCCCTCATTATTTCTTGCATTTTTATCCCACTCCTGCCTGCAAAAAATCTTTAGATCCTGCAATTCCTGCAAGAGAGACAGATTCCCTCATGCTACTAAAATGAAAAAAGGTAATTAACAGAGATAGAGATAAATAATTCAGACATAATTTTTACTACTAAAAAAACCCAAATCTTGCTAAAGCCGTGTAAAAACTTTTTAATCCTGTTATAATAGGCATCAAATCTTTCTATTCCTAACTTAAATTTAAATATTACACCTATTACTTTAAAAAAAAGAAAAACTTGCTTAACATTGCTAAAATCTATTTATGACAAGCTGCTCTCGTGTATATTGCATGGAATGTCAAAACAAATCACACCACAATTTTGCTTAAAAAGTGCTGTTTTTTAAATGATTATAAAAAGTAAGCTGTTCAAAAAAAATGGATTTTTAAACCATTTAAAGCACTGTTTTTAGAACTTTGAAACATATTGTACAAGTTATTTATATGTCAGGATTATTACTCCTTTTTGAAAAACCTTTAACAGAAAAACTGCTCGCAGTGCTAGGCGTTTGATAGAAATAGATTTTAAAAAGAGACTCCGAGTAAGTAAATAATAATAAAGTCAGCTTAGACTGCAGGTATAGCTAAACTTTATTTTGTTTTCCTGTAAATTACTGCAGTCTGGTGGGGTGGGAGGAGAGAGGTTCTTAGCAACCCAATTCTGCCCACAACAAAGTACATTTTACCCGTTCCCACTATTACAGAAATAGATCTTGTCGGACCTGTTGTGGGATCCCTGTCCCGCTGCGGGGCTCTACCCCAGAGTCTCAGGGCTGACGGACGTGCCCCTCATTGGGTTCTTCCTACCTCTCGGATGATGCCTAAAAAGATGGGGGGAAAGACTCATAACCAGACCTCCTCAGTAAAGGCAACTTCCCCTACTGTTGCAGCGCAGTGTTCCTTCAGGAAATGACTTCTCTCTTCCCCCTTGCCTGCACTCCTGGATGGAAGCTCTCTTTCTACTGCTTCTTTCCCCATGAGCATGCTCCATTGTGCCTGTGGCACAGAGCTTTCCTGGCTGAACACTGATCTAACCTTTCCCCTTCCACCGCTGTGGGGTGGAGTTTGGAATCACCATCACAAGGTTTTCAGGCAATCTCTTCCATGTTGTTGAGTGTGCACATTCACGCTAACATGCTCAGATTTATATGAAAATCAGTTACATGTTGCTGAGTGGACAAAGCCCGACATCCCTGCTGGAGGCCTTTCAGCACCCTGGCCAGCAACAGGAGGAGTAGAAAGGTCCTCCGAGCAGAACAGAGTGGCAGCCTTTGCTGCAGCCAATCAGGGTGCAGCAGGCTGATATGAAAAGAGCTGCTAGGCCAGGGCCTGTCAGTTCCTTCCTGGAGCTTGACCCAGGAAGACCTCAGGGCTGACTGGGGAACACCAGCACACTGGACAGCTCCAAGTGGGAGCTGGGCATCCTGCCTGGTTGGAACCAGGTCCTGTGGCTGAAGGTTAGCTAAGAAGCCAAAGACAACCCTGCAGAGCTCCGGATAAGGGGAATTCAACTCAACCACAAGGCCCTAGGGCTGGATGGAACAGCATCCCAGAGAAGTGGCCCAGGGACGTGACAGCAACTAATTATTTGAAACTCAGCAGGTAACTGCTGCTTGTGGGGTCCCTGGGCCGGGACCCAGAGGAGTGAGCGGGCCTAGGTCTCCCCCAACCCACCTGCGAACCGCACCCGGGAGGGGGTAAAAGAAGAGGTCTGATTTCCGGCCACTTACTGGACGCTGCTTTACCCACAGACTGGCGAGTAGAGATTGTAAGATTCCCTATAGCCCCCAACGCATGCTTGCATGATGGGTGGACCCTGTTATAATGCACATGCACAGAAATTTGAGCTCACATTTATACAGGTGGCATTTTGCTGGTTGCTGATTGCACTTGTGTGCATACACCCCATCGCACACAAACAATCTTTCTGGTTTATCTTTAGCTTAGAGAATTACAATTTGCTTGTCGTCTTGTACCTCTGGAGGAGAGCGGATTAGAAGCGTGTGCATGCCTGTGTGCGTGTTTGACAGCGCGTAGGTGGTGAACAAACTGTAGGAATGATTGGCACTCATCAAAGAGCTCAAGTGCACAAACACAGAGATAGCCCCCCTCTGCGACCCTAGTTTGTATTCCAGCAACAACCCATTTAGCACAGCACAACTTCGTAAGTGGGATTCTGTCTTCTAAGTTCAAAGAAACAAAAAAACACCTTTGTGTATGGAAAACATGGGGAAATAAAAGGGTTATTTTCCCTGGCTCCCTCCTGCTGCAGGGAGTTTGGGACTAGGGATCTGTTACTGAATGTATAATGGAGAGTGTTTTGTTTTAATCTGGAGCTGGCAAGTGCAACTGAAAGCTCACTCACTTGTCATCTGTTTGAGCAGTTAAAGAAGTTGGATAATTGCATCTTCCTGCGGAGAAGAATCGCTCTCCTCCTCCTCTTTCCACCACACCCACAACTCAGCACAGTTTGAGCTATTCTTTAGTAGGAGAATTAAACAAGAATCAGGAGCACATGCTGTACCTGTCAGAAGAACAAACCTGTCAACAATACAGGGTGCCTTTCGCTCTCTAAATTTAGAGTGATCCATTGACGCATTCGGGCAAGTTATAGCAATAATTGGACCTATTTTTTCTCCGGCTTTTAGTTCCACAAATTGACATAACAACAGTCTGGCTCAAACAACTATGGTACCAATTGCAAACACACATACAATCTGCTTACCACCATCAGGCATTACTCTGAGTCCTACAATTACCTATGCTGCAAGACCCTGATCTGCAACTTACTGAAGTCAATAGGAGCTTTTTCATTCATTCCAATGTTCTTTGGATCAGGCTTATGATGCCTCAGTAGTCAAATAGAACCTCCCTATATAACTGGGTCTCAGAATTCAAGGTTCTGACAGTCTGGGTATCTTTAGCTAAGCCTGGCTTTCTCTTTTCTATCATCTGTTTCTTTCCATACTAACACCCTGCCCAAGCAAGAGTGTTGTAAAAGCCACCTTTTTACCCATTCTTTTTGACCACCTCCATCATATCCCCACCAAACTTCTGTCTCAGGGAGCTAGGATTCAGACTGGTTTCTTTAATATTCACTGAGACTGCAGAATAAGCCCAGGAACAGGCCTGATCCATGTCACACACTTCTTTATCCAGTATGTGCAGGCAAGGGACTGGATTGTGGTAGAGTCCTAGTACTATACCATCTTTAAGCATTGATCATCTGTACAGGCACCTTATGTGACTGTGATCCATCTCTCCCTGATGAAAATGCTTTATAGATAGTGTATATGAATCATTGCCATGCCAGTGAGATTTAGAAGAAATGTGTCGGCCGTTCTGTAATAGCACTAGGGTTTTAAATTTTGAAGTGGAAAGGTTCAGAAGATATTCTCCATAGGGCTTAGATTCTCGAAGGCTGCATCTAGACTGGCATGATTTTGCGCAAATACTTTTAACGGAAAAGTTTTTCTGTTAAAAGTATTTGCGCAAGAGAGTGTCTATACTGTCATGTGCCTTTGTGCAAAAGATTTGCTTTTGCGCAAAAGCATCCGTGCCAATGTAGATGCTTTCTTGCGCAAGAAAGCTCCACTGGCCATTTTAGCCATCGGGCTTTCTTGCGCAAGAAATTAATGTGGCTGTCTACACTGGCCCTCTTGCACAAGAGGGCTTATCCCTGAGTGGTAGCGTTGGAGTATTTGCGCAAGAACCACTGATTTTGTACATTACAAACCCCCCCCCAGCCAGTGTAGACAGGCGGCAAGATTTTGCACAAAAGCACTTGCTTTTGCACAAAATCATGCCAGTCTAGATGCACCCATAGAGTATTTCCTGGAGACTGCGAAGAGGAGGGAGGGTTGTCATGACATGGGGCCACTGGAGCTCAGGGCTCCTGCATCACAGGTTTGCAAATATTTACCAGAGCTCTGCTCCTGACAGCTCATTTTCAGTTTAATCCCTGACTCTGCAGTGGGAAATTTTAGGAAGCCCAAATTCTTATGGAAAGCCCTATGAGGTCTGTAATAACCACAAGGGGCCAGGATCTCAGTTTGCATCTCACCAGAAAGACAGAGTGGTTTGTCACATCCTTTCCTTGTTCTCGATTCTTCTACCCAGCTTCCATGAAAACAAAGCCCAGAATGGGTTTCACGTGCAGTTAGTAAGCTGAGTACTGTGCTGACCAAAGAATCGGAATGCCAGCCCTGGATGCACCACAGCTCCCATTTGACATTCCTCTCGGTGCTGGGCCAAAAAAGTCTCTATTTTGGCTTGATGTAATTTATATATCAAAGGCAACTCTTCTCTGCTTTCATGTCTTGCCATGCCTGGAATCATAATGCTGGTATCTGTTCCCAGCACAACT